GGTACGGCAGGAATCGGAGGAGGTGTAAGTGCACCCATGGACCTAGGGTGGCCATCATAGAGGACATTCCAGTTTCCCGCTGCTCTGTCCTCTGTCCTATATTGATATGGAACCCAATGCCTCTATGTCCTTCAAGAGAAAAATAGAGGATATAAAGGCATGTGGTTTTGTATCAATAGTGGACCGAGGACAACCGGACTGGCCTCTATGGTGGGCACCCTATGTGTACCCCCTGGATCCATCCCTGTCCTCACCTTTCCTGTGTGGAAAGATTTCAGGACTCAGGTAAAATATAACGTGACATAAAACCAGTGTCAATGTTTAGTCCTTGGTTCTTAGTATCTAGCCACCTTATGAATTATTCCCAAGTACACCTTTTAAAGGTGTTGGGTAGATTTCCTTTGAGTATGAGGATAGTGAGGTCAGAGATGGAGAGTGGTTGTTCTGTGAAAAATGTGTGCGTGTCTCTGTCCTTTATATTTTTTCTGTGAGAGTTCATACTGGTGCATAGTTGCTGTTTAGTTTCAACCACATAGTTGCCATGAGGATGCTGGGTGCATTGGATCAGGTATATCACATTTTGGGAAAGGTACATGTAGAAGCCAAGTATTCTGATGGTTTTGATATGGGGGTGTTGATAGTAGAGGAGATGAGCTTGGAATTCCACACAATGGTGGAAGGGGGGAAAAAACAACCCTTCCAGAAACAGTGCTGCCAACCAGGAACAGTAAAAGAAATAATGAGTTAAGCCTTAAAATAATACATATTTTTCCTTGTCTTCTGGTTTTCAATTTTTCAGGTGCATATTTTCAAGCCTTGTTCCCCACATCCCTGGGAGGGGGCTAGAAACTGATGAGAAGCTGAATGTTTCACATATTCATCTTGTTCCAGGAGCTAGAGCTTGAAGACAAGCTCCAAATATCATGAAATTTGAAATAAAATACTAGAGGTTGGCAGCACTGGGATATTCTCCAGTGATTTAAATGGCCCAGGTCATGTATGGACTGGCAAAGCACGGGTAATTTGGCACAGCTAGATTTTTGGCAGTTGTGGTACACTGCTTTAGGTCAGTGGAGGACCTGGCCATTATGGCTTTTAAGCAATTTTTTATGAAAGCTGCTGACATTTTATGTCCCCACTGGTTTTACCCTTACAATAATTGTGGGACTTTTCAAGTAGGGTTTGGGGGGGGGGTTTGCCGACACTGACCAAATGCTGCAAAGTTTGGAATTTGGATATTGGAAGGAAATGGTGAAATACAAATATATCTATAATATAATAATTACTAAATATTTATTTCTTCTGAATCATTTCTAATTTGTACAAACTATTCCTTGTAAATGAACATGCTCATTCTTCTCCTTCTCTCAGTGGATATATCGGTGAGCTTGTGTTGCCAAAGGTTTTGAACAAATAACTTTTAGGTATTTGCTAACTATTTCTTATGTGCTGTGTGAGCTGTATAATCTATCACATAATTGTTACTTCTGTTCCATGAGTTAATAACTGAAACTTTGATAGAAGGTGATAGCTTGCTAGCTAGATATGATAACAATTGAATACAAGAGAGGGTAGGGTGCATACTCTACAATGCCCTAAAAGAGCATACCAATAAGAAATGCAAACATATGGAATACACATTATTGTTTGGGACATTGACCAGCTCTGATCTTAACCTCTGGGATATAAATTAGCAGTTTCTTCACAGCTACAAGCCCTGAGAGTTTTTCCTGAGTAAAGAATGCAGGGTTGTGCTTATGGCTGTATTTTTCTTATCTTTTCACCTTTTTATAGGTACCTTATGGCAGAAATAACCTGTTCAGATCCAAGATACACCAAGAAGTCATTGACTGCTATATATCTATCTGGTTCATTCTGATGTGCTATAGGAATGAACTGTTCTGGGTGCTCAGAACAGCTGTCAAAAGTAATTTAATATAAGAGTCAATGCATTAATGCTGAATAGCAAGTTCAGCCCCATGCCTATGTGAAAATCAAAATACTGACTGCAGGATCATTTTTAGATGCTGAAAGCAGTCCAGCAAGAAGAGGTATGTTGAAAAAGTCTGGGGAGTTAAGGTTCTGCTTTGGCACCCTCTAGTGCTGCTGTTATTAATAATCTGTTAGTATTTAAAGTGACTTTCCTCCCATTCAGTTCTTGCAGTCTAATATTTATTTAAAATATTATCAATATTTATCAAGTGCTCAACAACAGCTCCCTGGCTTGTACCAACACCCAGGATTCTCAGGTGGTTTCCCAGACAACTAGTAGTCAGGCCTAAGACTGCTTAGCTCCAAGCACTGTATAAGATGAAGTACTGTCCGCCTTAGCCATTGACAAGGATACCCACATGGTTCATGTTAAGCACATAAGGATCAAGCCCCCGATTTTGTAATTTTAAGGGATATTATCACTGTTGTTGGTACAGATTGAAAATTTGAGTTTTCAGCTCAGGCATTATATTATTTGAATTAATATAGCTGTTTCCTACAAAATATGCATATTTCATACTTTTATAGACATCATCTAAGGACTTCAGGCGGTTGTATTCAAGGACAATGAAGGACTCTTTGGAGGTTGCTGTATTAACAGTGTCTATCATTTAATGAATATTTACACAATTAATGAGTATTCGCACAATAATTTTGGCCTGTTAAGGTTCCCTACATACCTCTTTCCATGAAATCCTTTTTGAGAGGATTCCCTCAGAG